AGTATCATATGCTATGGGCCCCGCACTTTCAAGGGCCCCGCGCTAAATGCTTTCAAGCTGTCAATTCCATACTCTTAGTTCTTTCGGTAAAGTCACGTAGGTAAAAAATGAAATCAAAATTAAGAATAAATAAATAAAATAATAAAATCACGACGTTTCGGAGACAACACAAGTCTCCGTCATCAGGTGGGACCGTCACAGCCAGATTTGCTGCATCAAGTGCACCAATGGGAGGCCTTCGCCTTGATGCAGAAAATCTGGTTGTGACTGTCCCACCTGATGATGGAGACTTGTGTTGCCTGCGAAACGTCGTGATTTTATTATTTTATTTCATTTATTTCTTATTAATTTTAATTTCATTTTTTACCTACGTGACTTTACCGAAAGAACTAAGAGTATGGGTCCTTGCAGTCACGAAAGCTTCAAATCTAGAACTATCAATTCCAGTTCAGTGATTCTGCACTTGCTCTATTACTATAGTACTATACCGCCTTCGACTTTTATGAACGACTGGGTGTTTAAGGTTAGCGACTTGTCGTATTACCTGTGGCTGTATAGCAAATAAAAAAATACAATTTACTGTGCAAGTGAAAAAATTCGTGTTTTCACATTTACGTGTTTTTCGTAGGGTTTTACCCTCTATGGCAATTAAACAGTTGTGTTAAGATGTAAAAACACCACATTTAAACTTTTTGCAAGGAACCATGTTCGTCGTCTGCGGACATGATTCCTTGCAAAAGGTTTCAGTTTGGTGTTTTTACATCTTAACACAACTGTTTTATTGCCATAAAGGGTAAGACCTATTATACATTATATAAACGGAGTGGTAGCTCCTGCAATCTCTCATTTACTTGATACAGCTGTCGTGGCTGTGACGGTACCACCTGAAGACGGAAGCTTGTGTTGCCTCCGAAACGTCGTGATTTTTATTTTATTTTACTTTTTAATGTTTTTACCTACGTGACTTTACCGAAAAAAAACCCTAAGAATATGAATCATTGCAGTCACGAAAGCTTCAAATCTAGAATTAAGGAACAACAGGTTCCACACTGCCCACCAGGGATTATTTGTCTGTCTGTCGTGCATTGCCACGCCCTCGATTTGTATTTCATAGAGCGCTTCGGGCGGGCTCAGCACCACGTGACGCGCCGCCCCGTGACACGTGATTGCACGAATGCGCTGTCCAACCAAGTTCCTACCTGCCCACTCCGAAGGAACGTGTTAACTGTGTATGTCAATTCCCGCCAATGTTTTCAACACTAGATGCAAGTTCTAGGTTTCGTGTTACGTCTCTCCGCTCTGCTTGACCACTAAGCCGCTTGCACGTTGAAATCACTGGGGCTGGCTCCACGGTGGCTAGGTATATGTTGACTACCTCGCCTGGTGTGCAGGAGGTCGTGGGCTCGATCCCATCCCTGACGACACAGTGGCTAGGTAGATGTTGACTACCTCGCCTGGTGTGCAGGAGGTCGTAGGTTCGATCCCGACCCTGACGCCACGGTGGGTTACGTAGATGTTGACTACCTCGCCTGGTGTGCAGGAGGTCGTGGGTTCAATCCCGACCCTGACGCCACGGTGGGCTAGGTAGATGTTGACTACCTCGCCTGGTGTGCAGGAGGTCGTGGGTTCGATCCCGACCCTGACGCAACGGTGGTTAGGTAGATGACTACCTCGCCTGGTGTGCAGGAGGTCGTGGGTTCAATCCCGACCCTGACGCCACGGTGGGCTAGGTAGATGTTGACTACCTCGCCTGGTGTGCAGGAGGTCGTGGGTTCAATCCCGACCCTGACGCCACAGTGGCTAGGTAGATGTTGACTACCTCGCCTGGTGTGCAGGAGGTCGTGGGTTCAATCCCGACCCTGACGCCACAGTGGGCTAGGTAGATGTTGACTACCTCGCCTGGTGTGCAGGAGGTCCTGGGTTCCATCCCGACCCTGATACCACGGTGGTTACGTAGATGTTGACTACCTCGCCTGGTGTGCAGGAGGTCTTGGGTTCCATCCCGACCCTGCCACCACGGTGGTTACGTAGATGTTGACTACCTCGCCTGGTGTGCAGGAGGTCGTGGGTTCGATCCCGACCCTGACGCCACAGTGGCTAGGTAGATGTTGACTACCTCGCCTGGTGTGCAGGAGGGCGTGGGTTTGATCCCGACCCTGATGACTCCTGCTGCTGCATTATACTCTCTAAATCACATTTACAGTAGCATTGATAATATAAGCAGTACTGCGCCAATCTTTTTCTTGACTTGTCCAAAACCTTTGATACAGTCGACCACAACATCTTGCTTTGTAAACTAAGTTGCCTCCGTTTCTCCAAACGCGCAGTGGAATGGTTAAAAATTAACCCGTAAAAACAACGTTTTTCACTATAAATCCTTTATATGCGTGGCGGCTAGAGTCCTCTCGTCCTCTGGCTTGAGATGGCTGCCACCTATGGGTCAGATGATTGCCTGCCACCATTAAGCAATTGGTAATTAAATATAAAAAAAACTATTTCCTAAAAAGTGTAAAATGTTGGAAAAAAATTTTCACGAAAATAAATTGTCACGCACAACGAGTCTGTGTGCAAAATGTCAGCTCGATTGGATCATGGGAAGTGGGTTAAAAAACGACCGAAAGATTTGCACGATCGTAAGCGCGCAAGCAAGCAAGCAAGTGAACTTAATATAAAGAATTTAATAAAATTACTCTCTTCTCGCACCAAACTGGATTCATCGATGGTTGGAGGTCAAACTGTCAAGATAACAAAAGGGGTTCCACAGGGTTCCATCCTTGGCCCCCTCTTGTTCTCTCTTTATGTCATTTCAGGCTAAATCTGTTTGCGGATGACACGATACTGATTACTGCTGGCCGCTCTCTGGATGACGTGATTGCTAAGCTCCAGTGTGATTTCAACAAACTACAACATCAGCTAGTTGCTATTAAACTAGTCCTGAATACCTCCAAAACCAATGTGTTATGCTTCTTACCAGGACTAAAGCATGAAGTTGTTTTCCCCCAATTACTTTCCTTAAATAATTATCAAATAGACCAAGTAAAGATCTCTAAGTATCTTGGGGTCATCTTAATTTTCAAGATCACATTGATTATATTGCTAAAAAGACTAAATAAAACATTGGTTTTCTGTATCGACACAAGCACTGCTTCCCCATGATGTTCCGTTTGGTATTGATAAACGCTATCATTACTGCCTCTGCTTTATTAGTGACATTGTAAATACAACAGCCCCAAGTACTGTACTGAAGAAGCTCGACTCAATTTATCACTCGGCCTTAAGATTTGCATAGAACGGCCCATATAGGACCCACCACTGCGATCTCTACATTGGGTCATCCCACTGGGATATTTACACACAGCGTTGATGTGCGGTGCTTTTTCTGCAATATTTTGCTGTCTTTTCTTGGATTTTCTGTTTGCACTCAGTCACATAGTCACTTCAAGATGTTTTCTTGTTCATGTTTTTGTTTTTTTCTTTGTCCCGGTTGCACTCGAGTCAAGAGCCGCATGGCTCACAGAGCCATAACCTCATAAAAAATTACATTCAACTTTAAATTTGGAGTTTGCGTGACGTCACCTCACGTTTGTCCCCACTCCCGTGACGTCACCGCGCGCTTTGTCGTCGCCGCCGCCCCGCGTGACGTCACCGCGCGTTCGGAGGCGCTCGTGACGTCATCGACGCCGCCGCCCCGCGTGACGTCACCGCGCGTTCGGAGGCGCTCGTGACGTCACCGACTCCGCCGCCTCGCGTGACGTCACCGCGCGTTCAAAGGCGCTCGTGACGTCATCGACGCCGCCGCCCCGCGTGACGTCACCGCGCGTTCGGAGGCGCTCGTGACGTCATCGACGCCGCCGCCCCGCGTGACGTCACCGCTCTTGTTTTGTTTCCGGGCAGTGAGAGGAGGCTGATGGCGGCGGACGCGAGCAGCGAAGATTCGCGGAAACATCAACAACAACAACAACAGCAGTAGTGGTAGTAGCAGCAGTAGTGGTAGTAGTAGTGGTAGTAGCAGTAGCAGCAGTAGCGGCAGTAGTGGTAGTAGTAGCAGTAGCAGCAGCAGTAGTAGCAGTAGCGGCAGTAGTAGCAGCAGTAGCAGCAGCAGTAACATCAACAACAACAGCAGTATCAGCAGCAGTAGTATCAGTAGCATCAGCAGCAGCAGTATCAGTAGCATCAGCAGCAGCAGTAGTAGCAGCAGTAGCAGCGGCAGTATCAGCAGCAGCAATCTAATCGGTAGCCTGAGCAGTAACATCGGCAGCAGCAGTAGCAGAAGCATCACCAATCGACACCAAATACAGCAACCATCACCGTCACTGAGCACCACCACTACCACTTAGCACCATTAACCACCATCTAGCACCACCACCACCATAATCAGGACCACTGAGCACCACCACCATCACCACATCATCACCACCACTTAGCACCACCATCACCACCACCACACCATCACCACCACACCACCACCATCACCACCACACCACCACCATCACCACCACCACACCATCACCACATCATCATCACCACATCATCATCACCACCACTTAGCACCACCATCACCACCACCACACCACCATCATCACCACCATCACCACCACCACTTAGCACCACCACCATCACCACCACCACCACACCACCACCACCACATCAGCACCACCACTTAGCACCACCAACTAGGAGGAGGTGGTGGTGCTGGTGAGGGAGGTGGTGAAGGTGGAGGAAGTGGTGAGGGAGGTGGTGTAGGAGGAGGTGGTGTAGGAGGTGGTGGTGGTGAAGGAGGAGGAGGAGTAGGAGGTGGTGAAGGAGGTGGAGGAGGAGGAGGTGGTGGTGAAGGTGGTGAAGGAGGAGGTGGTGAAGGAGGAGGTGGTGAAGGAGGAGGAGGAGTAGGAGGTGGTGAAGGAGGAGGTGGTGGTGAAGGTGGTGAAGGAGGAGGTGGTGAAGGAGGAGGTGGTGAAGGAGGAGTAGGAGGAGGAGTAGGAGGTGGTGAAGGAGGTGGAGGAGGAGGAGGTGGTGGTGAAGGTGGTGAAGGAGGAGTAGGAGGAGGAGGTGATGGATCGTGGAGGAGGAGGAGGCGACGAGGTGTTGGAGGCTTTGGGCCTCGAGCTGCGATCCGCGCCGCCGCCAAGAGCGCCGCTCAGACAGCCGCATGGTGAGAGGGGAGGGGGAGGAGATGGGGGGAGATGGGGGAGATGGAGGGGGAGATGGAGGGGAGGGAGATGAGGGGGAGATGGGGGGAGATGGGAGGGGGAGATGGGGGGAGATGGGGGGAGATGGGAGGGGGAGGGGAGGGAGATGAGGGGGAGATGGGGGAGATGGGGGGGGGGAGATGGGGGGAGGGGGAGATGGGGGGAGGGGGAGATGGGGGGAGATGGGAGGGGGAGATGGGGGGAGGGGGGAGATGAAGGGGGGGAGATGGGGGGAGATGGGAGGGGGAAATGGGGAGGGGGGGGAGATGAAGGGGGGGAGATGGGGGGAGGGGGGGAGGAGGGGAGATGGGGGGGGAGATGGGGGGGTAGGGGGGAGATGGGGAGGGGGGGAGATGGGAGGAGGGGGGGAGATGGGGGGAGGGGGGTAGGGGGGAGATGGGGGGGGGAGATGGGGAGGGTGGGGTGAAGGGAGATGGGGGGGAGGGGAGATGGGGGGGTGAAGGGGGGGGAGATGGGGGGATGGGGGAGGGGTTAATGGGGGGGAGAGAGAGTCGGGAGGGGAGATGGGGGGGAGAGGGTAGATGGGGAAGGGGGGAGGGGGGGAGATTGGGGAAAAGAGGGGCAATGGTGGGGAGGTGGGGGGGGTGAAGATGGGGGGGGGGGGGGGGTAGAGGGGGGGGTGAAGGGGGGGATTAGGGGGAGGGGTAGAGGGGAGATAAAGAGGGGGAGAGATGGGGGAGTAGAGATTGAGAGCGAGATGAGTGATGAGAGAGATGTTGATGTTGAGATCTCCCCTCTCACGGCACATCACGTTGGCGACTCCCACCCCCCCCCATGTCACCCCCTCCTTCCATGCTCGATCTGCTGTACATGGCGACTGCTATGAATGCGATGACATCGTTTGTGACGGACGGTCGATGATTCTAAACGTGGTGGAGGGGAAAAAAACCGGAGGACCCGGAGAAAAATCCACGGGGAGAGCGAGAGAGAGACTCCAAATATACAGCAGCAGGCATAGTCAGGGTCGGGATATTGAACCCACGACCTCCTGCACACCAGGCGAGGTAGTCAACATCTCCTAGTCACTGTGGTGATGATGATGAGAGAGAGACGCAGACTCCAAATACACAGCAGCAGGCGTAGTCAGGGTTGGGGTATTGAACCCACGAACTCCTGCAGACCAGGCGAGGTAGTTAACATCTCATCACAAACAGAGAGAGACGCAGACTCCAAATGTACAGCAAGTGTCAGGGTCGGGATCGATCCCACGACCTACTGCAGACCAGGCGAGGTAGTTAACATCTAGCCACTGTGGTGATGATGATAAGAGACGCAGACTCCAAATATACAGCAGCAGCAGCAGGCATAGTCAGGGTCGGGATTGATCCCACGACTTCCTGTACACCAGGCGAGTGAGTCAACATCTCATCACAGTCAGAGAGAGAGAGACGCAGACTCCAAATGTACAGCAAGTGTCAAGGTCGGGATCGAACCCACGACCTGTATACCAGGCGAGGTAGTCAACATCTAGCCACCGTGATGATGATGAGAGAGACGCAGACTCCAAATATACAGCAGCAGCAGCAGGCATGGTCAGGGTTGGGGATTGAACCCACGACCTCCTGCAGACCAGGCGAGGTAGTCAACATTTCCTAGCCACCGTGATGATGATGATGAGGGAGACGCAGACTCCAAATGTACAGCACGGTCAGGGTCGGGATTGAACCCACGACCTCCTGTAGACCAGGCGAGGTTGTTAACATCTAGCCACTGTGGTGATGATGATGAGAGAGAGACGCAGACTCCAAATATACAGCAGCAGCAGGCTTGGTCAGGGTTTGGGTATTGAACCCACGACCTCCTGCATACCAGGCGAGGTAGTCAACATCTCATCACAGGCAGAGAGAGAGAGACGCAGACTCCAAATGTACAGCAAGTGTCAGGGTCGGGATTGAACCCACGACCTCCTGTACACCAGGCGAGGTAGTTAACATCTCCTAGCCACCGTGATGATAATGATCTGTGAGATGCAGACTCCAAATATACAGCAGGTGTCAGGGTCGGGATCGATCCCACGATCTCCTGTAGACCAGGCGAGGTAGTCAACATCTCCTAGCCACCGTGATGATGATGATGAGAGAGAGACGCAGACTCTAAATGTACAGCAAGTGTCAAGGTCGGGATCGAACCCACGACCTGTATACCAGGCGAGGTAGTCAACATCTAAGCTCGCCACCGTGCCGCCCCCCCCACCTCTTCCCCGCCGCGTCTCTCACCCTCCTCTCGTGTCCAGGGGAGCCACGCTACGCTGAGGGGGGCTCCCCCTCGCCCCACTCGGCGGCGCCGTGCGGGACCGCTCGCGTGCGGCCATTCGTCCCCTCGGAGGGAGCGTCCACCTCCCCTCCTCCCCCGGGGCCTCCCAGCCCCCCCGCGTCGCCCCCTCCCGCCATGAAGACGGCGCTCTCCGTGCACGCCAAGGAGTTCTACCCGCGCGTGGCGGGGGTGGCGGGCGCCAGCGGCTGCTCCCCGGTGAGAGGTCGCTCGGTCATTCGGTCACTCCTTCGGTCACTCACTCGCTTGGTCACTCACTCGGTTAATCGCTCACTCGGTCAGTCAGTCGCTCACTCGGTGACTCGCTCAGTCAGTCGGTCATTCGCTCGGTCACTCGCTTGTTCACTCCTTCGGTCACTCACTCGCTTGGTCACTCACTCGGTTAATCGCTCACTCGGTCAGTCAGTCGCTCACTCGGTGACTCGCTCGGTCGCTCACTCGGCCAGTCACTCACTAGGTCAGTCGCTCGCTCGCTTACCCATTCGCTCACCCACTCGCCCACTCACTCACCCCTTCACTCACTCACCGCCTTACTCTCTTAACCACTCATCCCACCCACTTTCTCACCCACTCACTCACCTACTCGTTTGCCTACTCACCCACCCACTCACCTGCCCACTCACCCGCCCACTCACCCCTTCACTCACTCACTCACTCTCTCACCCACTCACTCACCCCTTCACTCACCCACTCACTCTCTCACCCACTCACTCACCCCTTCACTCGCGCTCTCACCCACTCACCCACTCACTCTCTCTCACCCACTCTCTCACCCACTCACTTGCCCACTCACTCACTCACCTACTTGCTTGCCTACTCACCCGCCCACTCACCCGCCCACTCACTCACTCGCCCACTCACTCTCTCACTCCCTCACTTGCCCACTCACTCACTCACTCACTCACCCCCTCACTCTCTCACTCACTCACCCTTTCTCTCACCCACCCACTCACTCACCCGCCCACTCACTCACCCACTCACTCTGACTCCCTCACTTGCCCACTCACTCACTGACTTACTCACTCACCCCCTCACTTTCACCCACTTACTCACCCACCCGCCCACTCACTCACCCACTCACTCTCTCACTCCCTCACTTGCCCACTCGCTCACCTACTTGCTTGCCCACTCACCCGCCCACTCACCCGCCCACTCACCCGCCCACTCACCCGCCCACTCATTCACCCCTTCACTCACTCGCACACTCACTCTCTCACTCCCTCACTTGCCCACTCACTCACTCACTGACTTGCCCACTCACTCACTCACCCCCTCACTCTCTCACCCACTCACTCACCCTTTCTCTCACCCACCCACTCACTCACCCGCCCACTCACCTCTCTCACTCACTGACTTGCCCACTCACCCGCCCACTCACCCGCCCGCTCACTCACCTCTCTCACTCACTCACTCGCCCACTCACTCACTCAACCCCTCACTCAACCCCTCACTCACTCACCCACCCACTCACCCGCCCACCCACCCACCCCCTTCGCTCTCTCCCCGCAGTCCGGCTGGGTTGAGGAGGAGGAAGATGAGGAGGAGGGAGGAGGTGGTGGTGGTGGTGGAGGCAGCGCCGAGGCTGCCCTGCACGACTTTGTGAGGGACTTTGTGAGCTCCCTGTCCGTGCGTCCGGCCCTCTACGAGGCGGAGAGTCCCCTGTTCCTGGACACGCTCAACGCCTGTGTGAGCAGCGAGCACTCACTGCTCACCGTGCTGCACGGCATCTACGAGCAGGTGAGCACTCTCGTGTCTCCGTGTGTGTCTCTCTGTGTCTGTGTGTCTCTGTGTCTCTCTGTGTCTCTTTGTGTCTCTGTGTCTCTGTGTCTCTTCGCCTGTGTGAGCAGCGAGCACTCGCTGCTCACCGTGCTGCACGGCATCTACGAGCAGGTGAGCACTCTCGTGTCTCCGTGTGTCTCAATCTCTGTGTGTTTCTCTGTGTGTCAGTCTCTCTGTGTCTCTCTGTGTCTCTCTGTGTGTCTGTGTCTCTCTGTGTCTGTCTGTGTCTCTGTGTGTCTGTGTCTCTCTGTGTCTCTCTGTGTGTCTGTATCTCTCTGTGTCTCTGTATCTCTCTGTATCTCTCTGTGTCTCTGTATCTCTCTGTATCTCTTTCTGTTGGTCTCTATGTCGTGTTTGAGCAGCGAGCACTCGCTGCTCACTGTGCTGCACGGCATCTACGAACAGGTGGACACTCTCGTGTCTCTGTGTGTCTCTGTGTGTCTCTGTGTGTGTCTGTGTCTCTCTGTATCTCTCTGTGTGTCTGTGTCTCTCTGTGTGTCTCTCTGTGTCTCTGTGTGTCTCTCTGTGTCTCTGTGTGTGTCTCAATCTCTCTGTGTCACTGTGTGTCTCTGTGTGTCTCTCTGTGTCTCTGTCGGTCTCTCTGTGTGTCTCAATCTCTCTGTGTCTCTCTGTGTCTCTCTTTGTGTCTCTTTCTCTCTCTGTGTCTCTGTGTGTCTCAATCTATCTTTTTCTCTCTGTGTCTCTCTGTGTCTCTTTCTCTCTGTGTCTCTGTGTGTCTATTTCTCTCTGTGTCTCTTTGTGTCTCTTTCTCTCTGTGTCTCTCTGTGTCCCTTTCTCTCTGTGTCTTTGTGTGTCTATTTCTCTCTGTGTCTCTGTGTGTCTATTTCTCTCTGTGTCTCTCTGTGTCTCTTTCTCTCTGTCGGTCTCTCTGTGTGTCTCAATCTCTCTGTCGGTCTCCGTGTCTTTGTCTCTCTCTGTCCCCCTCTTACTCTGTGTCTCTTTGTGTCTCTTTGTGTGTTTCTGTGTCTCTCTGTGTGTCTCCTCTTCCTCTCTGTGTCTCTCTGTGTTTTCGTGTCTCTCCGTGTGTCTCTCTCGATGTGTGTCTCTGTATCTCTCTCAGTGTCTCTCTCGTGTCTCTCTCCGTGTTTCTCTCTGTCTCTCTCTCCACGTGTCACCGTGTGTCTCCGCATCTCTCCCATCGGTGCGTTGTTGCGTGTTGAGGGCGGTGGAGCGCCGGGCAGATAAAATGTAACAAGTTGGCACAGTAGGGGGGGTACAGCTGGTAGTGCATCCAACCCATGGCACTTGCAGGGTCTGTGCCGTGACCTCCTGCCAGCGAGCCTTCGACACTTCACGTGGCCTCAAAGTGCACCTGGCCTGGCACTGGTGCCGTGGTGATGTCGCCGCCACTTAGTGGAGAATGGCGGGTATTGGTATCTGTGTGTGTGGAAACGTGGACCCCCCTACTGGAACATCTTCGCCGGTTAGAAACATTTAGGCTGACCTGCCTACGATCCATCCTGGGTTCAACCAGGCTGGATTGTGTGAGGAGCTCACAAATCCTCGAAAGATCTGGACAAAGTCCCATCGGTGAGCTCCTCCGGCAGGCAAGGCTGCGTTGGCTGGGTCATGTAGCCCGCATGCCCAGCCACCGCATGCCTAAACAGCTTTTGTTCGGCCGGATCGAGGGGGCTAAACGGGCGCGGCACGGGCTAGAGAAGAGATGGAGTGATGTGGTACAGGAGGACGTGGAGCTGAGTGAACTTGCCGATGACTGGTACCAGCGGTGTCAAGATCGGCCTCTGTGGAGGAGGCTCGTGAAAGACGCTACTGGGCAGTTGGAGGCAGTCGCCCTCCAACAACAACGGAGGGCGGAGGAGCGACGCTCACAACAACGAGCGGGGAGCTGGGTGGCTAAAGCACAGCAAGTTGGCACAGTAGGGGGCACAGGTGGTGCATCAGCCAGTCATCTCAGTCAGTCGACCCGTGGCACCTGGGTCTGCCCCGTGACCTCCTGCCGTGGCCTCAAGGTGCACGTGGCCTGGCACAAGCGTCGTGGTGACGTCACCGCCACTTAGTGGAGAATGGCAGTTGTTGTTGTTGTGGGGAGCGGTGGGTGTAGTGGTTAGCGCTACGCTGCGCTATGAACCTGGCGACCCGGGTTCAATCCCCGCTCACGTCCAACACCAGTGACGATTATTTGAACCGGTCCTGGGCCTCTCCTAGGTCGACTCAGCCTGAAATGAGTACCTGAAGACACAGGCGGTCGGGCGTGGTGCTGGCCACCCACCCCCTCGTGTATTGTTCCGGCCTTCATAGGTGCTCGCTAACAGCACTTGCCCCTACAGTCTGTGAAGGCTACACGGGGGATCTCTGTGTTTGTGTGTCTGTATGTATGTACTCTTTGGTTCTT